TGGATCCAAGTGATATAGATTATAATTAAGTTATATTTGAGCCTCATTTTTTTTTGTAAAAAATAAGTTTTATAATAGTGATTTATTTGTAAAATGTATGGTTAAAAATTAAAAAATAAGAAAAATATTGAGAAAATGTATTAAGAAAGGATAATTTTTTCAATGTGCTCAAACCTGAGTCTAAACCTGAGTCAAAAACAGCATTTTTGATTTTGATATTTCATACGTCAGTCTATTTCCATCTCTCTCTATATATATACACGCGCTGAATTCCAAAGTGGGTTCGCCGATTTCCATTAATTCACATCTGATTTTCGTGTTTAGCTATAGCTTGATTAAATTCATAATTGATTCTGGAGCATGACGAATCCTGGAAAGAAGGTGTTGCTGACCTCCAATGGCGACGAAATTTCGCTCAACATTGCACGCCATTTAGCTCAGCGTGGTTGCCGGTAAATTCTTCTTGTAATTCTTGCTTTATGTACATACAGTTAAAGGCATAATGTTTGAGGTGTGATTATTAATTTTTATGTGCGTGAAATTTTAGGTTGGTGTTGATGGGGAATGAGGATCAATTGAGGAGTGAAGCGGAGAAGATAAAGAGATCTCTAGACGGCGTCGTAACGGTGGAGGTGGTGGGTTTAGATATGGATGAATCTAGAGAGTCCGTTTTTGATGAAGCGGTAGATAAAGCATGGAGGACTCTGGGGAATTTGGATGCTTTGGTTAACTGCTATTCCTATGAAGGTAAACGACAATTTTTTGGTAATTTTTTTGCTATTTTATTTATCTATATTTTTCAACTGAATTTTGGAAAGAGGGAGCATCATCAAATATTATTAGTGTAATATTATATGTTTATATTTCTATTATTCTATACACTGTGTTTTGATCCATCATTTGATTATCCAACCTGGCTCTAATTTATATAATTATTTGTCAAAACAATTTCTTTTAGACTTGAGAGAGAGAAATAACTCGATCTTGGTATTCTTGGTTCAGGATAGGAAAGAATAATACTTTTTTATCACCATCGATGTTCATGCGGCTTCAATAAATAAAAATACATTCCATATTCATTGGACAACAATATTTAAAGGTATATATAAGGTCTTTATCGTGCAGCAAAGGCCAAAAATCTAGATAAGAAGATGCTCCAAGGAGAAATACTGGTATACGAATAGAAGAACTTTTCACTGCGTGTATATAGTGAAAAATTGCTGTCTAGGTGCAATAAGAAATGAAAAGATCTGTTCTGAGGATTATCTCAACGGATGGGATGAGACCTGGGATAAGAAGGGAATGTTTCACATTGGATCAAAAGAATCCTCAGGAATTTGTGACTGCAGTGTTCATCCTCCATATCCACTAAACAACTGAACTTGATACAAGCCTAGTCGACAAGTTATAGTCATATATATCACTTTGGCATTGTTTCCAGCCGACAAAAGAAACTTAAGAAGTTTTGAGTTGTGTGCTTAATGTAAATCGTGCAAGATACTGCCTGAGATGATCATTGCTGTCTAAAAAAACATATTATGCCTACTATCATTTGATGGTCATAGGACAATTCTCATCCTCTTTAATAATAATAATAATAACCACAACAACAATAATTTATCATGGGTTGAACATAATCTCACCTGATTTTCGATTTCCAGAAGTTTCTTTATTCCTTTTCATCAAGGTATCATCTGTTCCCCTTATGTTCTGAACTTCTGATCCTCGGATGCCAGAAACTTTGTTTACTTATATAAACTTGTCAAACTACCTAGGCTTCAGCTGTAATTCTGAACAGGACTGTTGTATCCTTGCCAATTCTTTCACTATAACTAGCCATCTGTTTCTAATTCTCTTCAACCAAGTTTACTTTTGACATGAAAATAGATATAAGTACCTGAATTGATTCATTATATCTTTCTTTTCTGTTGAAACATCAGCTAGCTTTACCTCTTTTCCTTAAAACTCGTCCTTGATAAGTTTTTAAAGTTATATATCATCTTTCTATCTGATTTCTTGATCGCCATAATTGGCTTTCATAATGGAATGTGTCTGAGCCTCAAGACTTTCTTTCATTCCATTGGTTTTTTATTTCAATCAGAATACTTTCTTCTTGAGTGTCACCTTTTTACGTTGCTGGCAATGGGAACTGATGTTCGTTTCATCTCAATCCCAGATACTTTATTACTTGTATATTTCTCTAGGAACATATCTGGTTGTTGCAATAATGAATAGGACTTGAAAGAAGATGTGTGTAGTGTCTAAAATTCATGGATGACAATCCCTGAATCTTAATTGAGGTTGTGTTGGAACTAATACTAAATAAAATATTTAGATGCTTAAGAGTTCAAAGGAGCTGTTTATAGATATTTGATACCAATATCAAGGGTATACAATATCAAATTGTACTTTCACATTCAGTCCTCCAAGAATTATTACTTGGAGCACAATGCTTTCACAAGTCATGATTAAGTACTTTACTTGTGGCCCAAAATATTCTACTCATATTTACTTCTATATAGTTCCTTATGCAAGCTGCAGTATGGTTGAAAATGAGCAGACCATGATCTCTAATTGTGTGAAACAGGGAAAATTGAAGATCCTCTGTGTTTAGTTGAAGATGAGTTCAAAAAGATTGTTAAAATCAATTTCATGGGTGCATGGTATCTTTTGAAAGCTGTTGGTCAAAGAATGCGGGATCAAAAATCTGGGGGATCCATTGTTTTTTTGACCTCAATAATTGGGACTGAAAGAGGCATATATCAAGGAGCTGCAGCATATGGTTCATGTTTGGCTGGAGTCCAGCAGCTTGTAAGGGTGAGTGAAATGATTTTTTTTTTTTTTTATGACATTTATCTGTATGAGGAAAATTGGTCATCATCACTTGACTGTACATTTTACTTTTAAGTGTTCGTATAATTGAATTGAGAATTTTGAATTTAATCAAGTTTCGCACACCCTTATGATGTTTCTGAAATAGACAAGAATTGACATAGTTCTCCAGTTTCTTCTTCTTCAATAAATTTTGAAGAATTTTACAAAAGATCACCATCAATGCAATTTCCGGTGTTAGCTTCGTCTGTTGGTTAACATTATAATATGACGTTTGCTGTCATTACTTTTGCTATCTCACGAGAGAAAATGTTGTCTACTTAGTCCAAGAAATCAAGTGAAGTTGTGACTGAAGCTTTTCATGATACGACCATTAATCTTAAAAAGCAAGTCATCTAAATGAAATTTTTGAATTTGCAAATGTTAGAGCATCTGAATTAGTAAAGAAATTCCATTAGCTTGAAGTAAATAAGTTTCGTTTGTTTGGCTAAAATAACCTTTTAAATGTCATTGTTGGCGATAGGTTGTCTTTTTGCCAACAATTCACTAAACAATCCGCTGAATTAGAACAAAACATTTTGTTTTTGTTGATATTCTGTGGCCTCACAAGCATATATCTAGATAATTAATTGGAATAAACGCTGAAAACTGTTAGGTTTTTTACCTCGTGATTCCTCAATTTAAATTGTGTTTTATTATTTGCAGACAGCTGCAATGGAGATAGGGAAATATCATATAAGGGTTAATGGAATAGCTCGTGGTTTGCATCTCAACGATGAGTTCCCTATATCAGTGGGGAAGGACAGGGCAGAGAAATTGGTGAAGGAAGCAGCACCATTGCATCGATGGCTTGATGTTGAAAAAGATCTAGCGTCGACTGTCATTTACTTAATCAGTGACAGTTCAAGATATCTGACAGGGACTACCATATTTGTTGATGGTGCACAATCTCTGGTGAGGCCTCGAATGCGGTCATACATGTGACATGCACTTATATGCTATGTTAGCAAGATAATATGTGTATCAATTCTTGAAAGTAGGTACATATCATGGTGCAACTCGTGAGAATTTCAGGAGATTGACATGTCTTGTAATCGAACTTCAAGGGTCAGGAATGCTTATATTTTGCCTTATTATTTGATGTAAACATGGAGACATACCTCTCAGCGTGAGAATATTTTACCAATCATCATTGACTATGTTTTGATTTGGCCTGCCTGAAGATCTTATATCTGTTTGGATGTTATTTATATTGTTATTGTTTTGTATGAACTATTTTGATATAACTTAGCAGAACAAGTAAAAATTATGGCATAGGAAATTTGAAGTGAAGACTGGTTGTGCACTTATTTTGACAGATTTAGTACCAATTTGTTTCTTTCTTAGGTCGGAGGCTGATTTTGCAATCGATGTAAAGGATGGGGGCCAATGGTGCAATTTTTTCCCATTAGTTTACTACTTTTTTATTTTTATTTTTTGTGAACTAATGATCGTGCACGCTTTATCTAAAATGATCTCTGCAAAATAAATGAAATAACCTCAAATTCCTCACATCCATCTTTGATTTTTGAGACATTTGACCGTTCAATCTTCAAGACCCGCAGTGACGTGATGCGGCATTTGGATACGCCATTATTAGGACATTTTCTATTTGTGTTTCATTAATATATAACTTTTAATCAGTGCAAACTGCACCATTAGATTTTTCAGTATTTTCTTAATTTGCAGTGGGTTAGTGAGATTGGGCTTAATGATGGCCCTGGCTGCCCGGTGATAGGGCAGGGCTAGGGCAGTCAGAGTGGGGGAGAGTTGGCCACCAACAATTAGAGATGGCAAAAAAAAAAAAAAACATGTTAAACCTGATATTTGTCAAAACTTCGTGAAGGGGGTGAAGATTACTTGCCTAACCGAGTAAATGGGGTGGGGGTCATTGCCCCGAAACAGGTATGAGGCTAGTACGGGAAACGTAGTCTCCACCTTGCTATTCGTCCCGTTTTGAATTAATTTCAAATTTAAATTTTGTATCAAACAAAAATAATAAAAAAATTATCATCATTTTTAAAAGGAACACGAGTTATTCTTAACAAATTGAAAAAAAACATAATAACATTTGCTAACTAAAGACATTAAAAAAGTAAAAAAACAATATCAAAATAAAAAATAAGCTGCTCGATAAATGGGGTTGGGGACCTGCCCAACCCCAAACTCGATTTAACCGGTGATGTGGTCATAAATGTCCTACCCCGAGCAAGAGGACTTCAAAGTGTCCTATTTCTTAATTACAGCACTTCACTCCTCGGGGTATGTGAATTCCTCAAGACATCTCGAGGATGGACCACCCATATTACTCTTGAAATCACGTTAGCACTCCTCGAGACAATAATGGTCGGGATATTTACTTGGTCAAATCCCTAAGGTACTCCTCAATCAAGAGACAGTAGTCCTTGTGCAGAAAGGATCCTAGCTCTACCCCATCACCCCTACTTAGGAATCCTAAGTCGAAAAGGAGTCCTATCTGGGGTAAGACTTCAGATAAGGAAGGTTTGGACTCCTATCTACATTCCAACACTTATCCCTATAATCACTCCTAAAAATAAGGAGATGAGTCCTACCTGAACTACACTACCTACCTCTATGAATACATCATTCTCATTCATCATTCAGGTACGTTTTTACATATATTTCTGAATATACATTTTCTCTCAATTCCCTCTCTGACTTAGGCATCGGAGGGGCGACGAGGACACCCCTGACGCCTTGGTTTCAGGTATTGGAAGACCATGTTCGTGCCCATTCTCAATCGTCAAACTCGGAATTCACCAGGTGCAATTTTTGGCAACATCATTGGCGCCGTCTGTGGGAAACGCTACCAAAAGTCATGGTGAACACACGTTCAGGTCTTTCTCTTGCTAGCTCATCCGCTCCAAACCAACCCCTTGCCACGGAGCCCCCTATCTAACAAGAAGAGTCTTCAATAATGCCCGTTCATCAACCAACAGTGATTACCGCTGGAGCATTCGAAGAACTCCATCAGCAAGTTGCAACGCTGACTCAACTGCCGAGCCAGGGAAATACTCCCCAGGCCCCAGCAATGGATACTGTACCGGCCCAACCGGAAGGTTTCATGAACGATGCTCGAGCTCGGGATACCTATGACATCCATGACAATGGTGGATCTAGGGCCTCGGGCATACCTCCAGTAGCCTCGACCTCGAGATTGGTGACCATGGACTCAGGCGAGCTCGTGCGGATCATACAAGATGGGATCACAACAGAACACCAAGGGAGTGACGGGGTTCACCCCTAACACTCCGTTCACGCCGAAAGTTCTTTCATATCCCCTCTCGGACATGTTTAAGTTCCCCCGCATGAAGGAGTATGATGGGACCACCTATCCTATTAACCATCTTAATGTCTACACGGACATCATGAACTTACAGGTTGCACCAGATCTAGTAATATGCAACGCCTTTCCTCAAACATTGACTAATGCCGCCGGGGATTGGTTCGCCACATTGGAGCCTAACTCTATAGCATCATTCTCTGACCTTGCTGATAAGTTGTTCGCCTTCTTTGCAAGTAGCAAGCGCATCAAGAAGACAGCAGCCACCCTCATGCAGCTCCGCTAAGGACCTAATGAGACCTTACATAACTTCATGATGAGATTCAACAAAGAGAGGTTATAGATACCCAACCTTCACATTACAGCAGCAGTTTTGGCTCTAACATATGCAGTAAAGTGTGAAGCCTTCAGAATGTCTTTATCTAAGGCACCCCCGAAATCAATGACGAAGCTCTTAACTCGAGGTGAAAAATACATCAATATGGAGGAGGCAATGAAGGCTACTCCGAGCTCTGAGAAATCCCAACTAAAGAGGTCATACGAGCCCAACTTGCGACAAGATCATGTTCAGGGCAAGCAGAGGCAGGAAGGGCCACCTAGGCCATTTACTCACCTGAACACTTCTAAGTCCAACATATTGATGGAGATCAGGGACATGAAGGAGCTTAAATGGCTACCTAGGTTGCGATCCCCCGCGGAGACCAAGGATAAAAGCAAATATTGTGACTTCCACAAGGATTATGGACATACAACCAAGGAGTGTATAACGTTGCAGCGGGAGATTGAGGCCCTGATTAGGAGAGGATTCTTGAAGGCGTATGTTGGGCACAATAAACTCCCGAGGGATGATCACGACAAAGGAAAGACCTCGTGCTTAGGAGGAGGTAACAAGCCCACGGTCGGTATTATAGTCAGAGGGATAGCATCGGGAGGAGACTCAAGCAGTGGACGAAAGCAATATGATAGGCAGTATGGTTTGGCCCAGGGGACCACTCTTTACAACACAGAAGATATCTCTTTTGGATCTAAGGATTTTGAAGGCATAACATTTCCTCATGATGATGCCTTGGTTATATCATCCATAATAGCAAACTTTGAAGTTAGGAGGATACTGGTGGATAATGGGAGTGCAGCCAACGTATTGTCCTATGACGCCTATGTGAAGATGGAAATTTCTACTAACCGACTAAAGATGGTCAAGACCCCCCTCCAAGGGTTTGGGGTGGAACAATCATTCTGGGAAGTGTTGCCGGCCTTCCCCTAACTTTGGGCTCAGAACAGAATGATATAACGGAGATTACACCCTTTCATGTGGTCCGGACCTCAATACAAGTCATGGTATAAGGGTTGTACGAGGGGATCAGACAGTGGCTAAAAAGTGTTATGTTACGAGCATTCAAGGCTTAAGCACCGACGTCATGCAATTATCAACCCCTAAGCTCGAGCTCAAGCACCAGGATATACTTGCCCTAGTGGAAGATTTGGTAGAGGTCAAGCTCAAGCATGACAAAAAAGTAATCATCGGATCTTAACGCCACTCTCAAGGATGAACTCATCAAGTGCTTGTCCCACAACATGGATGTATTCGCATGGAGGATTGAGGATATGCCTGGGATAGACCCTGATGTCGTGGTTCATCTACTAAACGTAAGGCCTGATGCTAGACCAGTAAAGCAGAGAAGGAGACAATTTGCACCGAAAAGACGAGAGGTAATATGCGAAGAGATCAATAAGCTCGTTAATGTTCAATTCATCAGGGAGGTCCAATATCCAAATTCGCTCCCCAATGTCGTTCTTGTCAAAAAGGCTAATGGCAAGTGGAGGGTATGTATTGACTTCACAGATCTCAACAAGGCATATCCAAATGACAGTTATCCCCTACCTCGAATTGATAACTTGGTAGACAGCACATCGGGTCACAAGTTGTACAGCTTTCTTGATGCATTCTCGGGTTATCACCAGATCCGTATGGCTGAAGAAGATTAAGAGAAGACGTTGTTCGTAGCTGACTCCGACATATATTGCTATAAGGTCATGACATTTGGTTTGAAGAACGCCTGGGCAACTTATCAGAGGCTCATCAACAAAGTGTTTGCTGACCTAATTGGGAAAAACATCGAGGCCTATGTAGATGACATGGTAGTCAAGAGTAAGCAGGTGAATGAGCACATCGCCGACCTAGAGGATGTGTTCTCAACTATTTGAAGATATAAGATGAAGTTGAACCCAGAAAAGTGTGCTTTTGGGGTGGCATCGAGAAAGTTTTTAGGATTCATGATCACTCATAGGGGGATTGAGGCAAATACAGATAAAATACGGGACCTTAATATCCATGGAATCGCCTAGGAACAAGAAAGAGGTTCAGAAGTTGACAAGTCAGGTCGCCTCTTTGAATAGGTTTATGTCCAGAGCAGTCGACAGGTGTTTTCCCTTCTTCAAAGTTCTCATAGGCAATCAAAGTTTCATTTGGAATGAGGAGTGCGAGAGAGCTCTCCAAGAGCTTAAGCAGACCTTGGCTACTCCTCCAATTCTTACGAAGCCCGAGCCCGGAGACATGTTATACCTATACTGGGCCGTATCTCAAAATGCAGTGTTCGGGGTACTAGTGAACGAGGTGAAGAAGGCTCAACAACCCATCTACTATGTGAGTAAGGTGTTGTTGGACGCAAAGACAAGATACATGTAATGCCCCAAATTTTATCGATTTAAATTCTGGGGTACTATCAATATCATTTTGTAATCATGCATAACGCGGAAATTTTTAAATAAACTTTAATAAAATCCAAATTTTCATAACATCAAATTAAATCAATCCAAAACATTAAATCAGAAATTTTAAGCGTTCAATAGAAACTAAGGAAGACTAATCTCTAAACATAAAAATATTATTGATAGTTCCCTTGAAAAGGTTTTATTTGACAATCCGCGCACCATTCAGCCACCGTCCACGTTGAACCGATCTAACCTGAGAAGTTAACAATTTGAAGGAGTGAGTATTTTAAACCTAGTAGGATAAGTGCGTCCAAAACAATATAATAATTCTTTAAACATAAATCTATAACATTCGATACCATCATTTCATCAAGAGCAATCGGAGATCAATCGAAAGCTCTGGCATTTGAGAAAACTCGAAGGAGATCTCACATTTCATTTCATTTCATTAGGACTCATAGGTCAATTAGCACTTCGTGAAATAAACCATGTAAAAGAAATTATAATATTGCAAAAACATATCCACTTGTACGTAGTATCCTACCTTGATTGATGAAACGAATCTGAAGGAAAATATGATTGCACGTCACAAGATTCTAAATTTCTCGTCTGTCAACAAATCATGAATTGCTTTCTGCTTTGCAAGGTGTTTACTTTCTTTCTGCCATGGTGTAAATATTTTTTCAGTGAATAACGTGAACTCTTGTATGGTATTTATAATTGACAAATAATAGAGTTCTAGTGACTTTACAATAGGGGTGCCATGTGCCACCACAAAATTTAGAGAAAATAGGTTTCAGTATTGGCTAAATTTGACTAACAAATCATGATTATCCAATAGAATCATAGGTTACATAGGATATGATACGTGGACCAAAGTGGTGATTAGTTTCATTCCCAATAGAGTTTCTACTAGACTAGGACAATATTTGGCTTTTACTTGGAATTTGCAAATTTCCATATAACAAGGAAGACAAACTGTAGTTTTAAATTAAAAGTAGGATTACAATTTATTTTCGTTCTAATCCAAAAATATGATTGCAATTAACAAATAAACATTTATCATAATATGATTACAACTCATCCTATACGGTAAGCTGGCAGAAAATTTAAACCATAAACCAATCTAATTGATTACCAATTAAAGATAATTTCTTTGAACTGAAATAACTTTGGCTTAACTTATTCAAATTTACATTTTCTTGAGCCCAACAAACCTTATTTAATGCGAGCTACAAAATAAGTCCAAGATGGATATAATTTGGTCACTCTACAAAAAGTTAAATATTTGGCCCATTTAAAACATATGAATTTAAAACATACTTTATTTTAGTCCCTTAACTTTCAAAAATCATAAAATAAAATTTATAAAACAAATAATTTAATTCTAAAATTTTGGGGGGTCACAATACATGTTGGCAATACAACTTGCCCTTGCACTAGTTATGGCAGCTTGGAAGCTATGACAATATTTCCAGTCACCCCATTGTAGTGCTTACAGACCAGCCACTCAGACAGATACTTCAGAAGCCGGACATTTCAGGAAGATTGCTGAAGTAGGCAGTTGAACAGGGTGAATTTGATATAGAGTTCAAGCCTCGACCTTCTATCAAAGGACAAGTCCTTGCGGATTTCATCGCAGAGCTCACCCCAAGGCCTCGAGGGCCAGGGGACAGCCCGACCACCATGGAGATGTTTGGGAAAGATTTGTTGATGGAGCATCTAACTCCTTGGGCTCGGGTGCAGGGGTCATTATCAGCAGTCCGAACAAACTAACTGAAATTCAATGTGCACTCAGGTTCGAATTTGAGGCTACCAAAGATGAGGCTGAATATAAGGTTGTGGTCATTGCCCTTGAACTTGCTAATAGCTTGGGAATTGTACACGTCAAGCTCTTTAAAGATTCACAACTTGTGGTAGGACAGACTGAAGGAGCATTCGAAAAGAAGGACGAAAAGATGAGCTTATACTGTTTAAAAGTGCATGACCTTTAGAGACGATTTAAGGATTGTGAAATTCTGAAGATTGCCCGGGCTGACAATGGTAAGGCGGACGCGTTATTAAGACTGGTATTCATGGGGGTAGAAGGACTTGATAAAATCGTGCACATCAAAACGGTAACAGAGCCTAACGTAGGTCGGGAAATGAGTATCATCGACATTGATCATGAGCCCTCGTGGATGGACCCCATAGTTGAATTCATAACTAATGGAAACCTCCCCGAGGATCCTAAAGAAGCTAGGGGCGTTCGATTTAGAACACCCAGATACTGTATCATCGAAAGAGTCCTCTTTCGCAGGACTTTTACACTTCCATATCTCAGGTGCCTCAGGGCCTCCGAATCAGCACAGGCTCTAGCAGAAGTTCACGAAGAAATATGTGGGCATCATCAAGGAGCTAGAGCTCTGGCCTTCAAACTCATAAGGTATGGATATTATTGGTCTCGCACCCCCAAAGCAATGGTCTAGCCGAAGTGACTAATCGGATTATATTGCAAGATCTTCGCACAAGGATCGAAGGTGCTCATGGCAACTAGCCCGACGAATTACCCTCTATATTGTGGACCTATAGGACTTCGCACAAGACAACTATAGGCGAGACCTCATTCATGCTAGCTTTTGGGTTGGAGCCACTATCCCATTCGAAGTCAGCCTTCCATCATTGAGACGTCTGGATCACAGCACCGGGGAACACACGACGGAGCACTTGACATTTTCGAGGAGGTGCACGAGCAAGCCGCCCTACAAGCTGCCTCATACCAAAACAACACAGCAAAATATTTTAATAGCAAGGTCAAACCCAGAAGGTTTAGGGTTGGGGATCTAGTGCTCAAGAAGGCCGAAACTGCAGGCCATGGCCCAGGTAAACTTGGCCGACATGGGAAGGGCCCTATGAAGTCATTAGACAAGTCCGAAAAGGAGCATACAGTTTGAGAGACATGGCCGGACGACCACTATCAAGACCCTGGAATGCTAACAATCTCAAAATTTATTACAAATAGTAGTCCCCACCTTCTACGTAGGGTTGAGCTTAGTTGGACGACCACTGTCAAGACCCTGGAATGCTGACAATCTCAAGTAATAGTCCCCACCTTATCCGAGGGTTTGAACTTAGTTTTATTTTCATCTCGGGCTTGCATGCCCCATACGTCTTCTTCTTGCTTCAAGTTAGTTTACTTTTATTTTTTTGGGCTTGCATGCCCCTAAGCACTTTCTTTTTTAGTTATATAAATTGATAGTTGGCTAACAACCTACATCAAACTTTTTTTGAGTAAATACTTCAAAAGATCTGTCACGAGCAGGCACCATCGAGATATATTATGGGCATGATCTCACAAAAGACCTGTCACGAGCAGGCACCATCGAGATATGCTATGGGCATGCTCTCCCAAAAGACCTGTCGCGAGCAGGTACTATCGAGACATGCTACGGGCATGATCTCACAAAAGACTTGTTACGAGCAGGCACCGTCGAGATATGCTACGAACATGATCTCACAAAAGACCTGTCACGAGCAAGCACCATCTAGACATGCTACGGCATGATCTCCAATAAAACCTGCCATGAGCAGGCCCTTTGAAGGGATGCTCGAGCATGACCATTCCCAGAAACACAATCTTGGGCCAATATGTCCTCAGACAATGCTCGAGCTTGAGATTTTATGACTGTCGCTCCTCGAGCTCAATCGTTTAACAAATGACTGCCACTTGTGCCATGATCGAGTATAATATTTTAGTGAAATTGATTCGCCAAGTTATCCTTGAGATCATTACAATTACTTTTCATTAAGTTATCGTCGAGCTCATTGCTTGAACTTATTCATCGAGTTATCCTCGAGATCGTTACGATTACTTTTCATTAAGTTATCGTCGATCTCATTACTTGAACTTTATTCATCAAGTTATCCTTGAGAGTATTACCATTACTGTTCTAAGTTATCGTCAAGCTCATTGCTTGAACTTATTCATCAAGTTATCCTCGAGATCATTACGATTAATTTTCATTAAGCTATTGTCGAGCTCATTGCTTGAACTTCATTCATCGAGTTATCCTCGAGATCATTACAATTACTATTCGTTAGTTATCATCGGGCTTATTTACTTCAATCGAGCTAAATCCGTATCATCGAGATATAAAATTATGAAACAAAATAAGCCCATAAGGTCGGGCAATTTACTTACAAAATCAAAACAAATAAGCCCAGGTCGGGCAATATACATGAAGAAGCAAAAATATTAATCCAAGTTAACCCCAGGATCATTCGCTGAGTTCGGGGTATCATCGCCAGCATCGTCGACCTCGACGCACACGACTTGTTCAGACGTTGCTTCCTCGGACTCCGAAAGCTCGAGGTCCTCAGCAATTTCAGGGATGCCTTTGAAGTCCTCGGGCTTCGCATCTGGTCGCGAGCGTATGAATCCTCGAGCTTCTTTAAGTGCGAGAATGTACGAGCCCATGGCATACTCGCCCTTCAACGTCTTGAACTCCTAGGATGACTTGAAGTCCTCGATGGAGACATCTCGAGCTTCCATTAACTTGTCCTCAACATCTTTTTGAGCTCGTTCCATCTCGAGCTTCATCTCTTTGACCTCATCCTGGTAAGTGCGGGCCTCGTCACAAGCCCTTTTAAGATCATCTTTGGCCGCGTCGCGCTCTTTTTCAAGAAGGGCACGCTCAACCCTAGCCTCGTCACGCTCCTTTGCAAGAAGGGCACGCTCCTTGAGAAGGCAAGCTAATTTTTGGGACTCGTCAGTACCCTTCAATGAAAAACCCTGGGCCACGTTTAAAGCCTGAAGAAAAAAACATGCATCATAAGAGATCGACGAGCTATTAAGAAATTAAAAAGAGTTTCCAAGCTTACCTTTGTCAGTACGTCCTCGACCATCTTCACGCCCTCGTTACGACCAAAATCTCATTGATATTTGTTTATAATAGTCAGGATGAGGTGGCATACCTCATGGTCCTCGGGACAACTGGATCGTTGATGGACCTCTTCATCCTCAAGATCCACGACGGTGGACCCAGATCGAGGAGGTGGGGGTCCCCTTGAAGTACCCTGAGGAGTAGGCAAACAAGAGTAGTCCTCACGCCGGGCGAAGTCATTTGCGATCTCGATGACTCCCTGGGACCACTAGCAGTGTTCTCATACCTTATATCTCGAGGTCATTTTTTGCCTTTCTTTTGACCCGGAGCTCGGGTCTGAGGGGCCTTGCTCTTCTTACCTACTGCCTTACGTAAATCGCTCGGATTGAACGCCATTTCTGCACAATAGTTACAAGGAATTATCCCGAGCACGAGGTAATGAACATGATAAAAAATAAAAATTGCCATGGAATACAAAGTCCTACCCTCGAGGCCTTTCAGCCTTGCCAAATTGAGGATGTCATCCCCGAGGATGTCATCCATATCATATACAAGAGGCTCGAGATTCTCTAGCATCTGCCTATCTCTCTCTAAGGACTTAAAATACGCCTGACCCTCACAAAAGCTTGACGTGTCTGGAAAACCATACTATGGACTAAAGGGTAGATCGGTATCTCGAGGTATGACGAAGAACCACTTATCTTTCTAACCATTTAAGGAACTAGACATCCTCGGGACCCTAAACCCTCCTCGGGTTGAAAGATAGGCAAAGCAGGTAAGCTGGGAGAGTTGTTTCAGGTCAAAGACCATCCTACAAAGGTCGATGTATGGGTTAATTCCTAGGTATGTACAGGCAATAAAGAAATAAATTAACATCCTCCACCCATTTGGTAATAGCTGCGCCAGGCACATATTGTACTCGACCATAAGTACCACGAAGAAGGGATGCAGAGGCCACCTAAAACCCCCTTTAAAGAATCTCTAAATATCACAAACTCTTCATACTGAGCCCTAACCATCCTATCCCTATCCTTGGGGCACCAAACATCACAGCCCAACATAACCCCATATTCCCGAGCACTTGCCATTGCTAGGTGCTCTTTAAATCTACATGGTTGGTAGAGGTAAGTGAAAGGGATCGAGTTGGCCTGAGCTCAAGGCTGAACGTTTATAAGGACAGCTATAGGAATGATCGACCCTCACTGGTCCTCAGGTGATGTTCCCAAGGACGAGGACGAACTATCATTACCACTACTCGACATCCTAAGCTGAATCGACCCTAAATAAAAGACTTAAGTTCTCGAGCTCTTACCTTAAAATTCGATCTCGAGGAGGGAGAAAAGAAGTTACTGAGAGTGAAAAGTGAAAAATGAAAGGAAAATGGAGTATTTATAGCCCTCAAAGGGAGGAAGGCCAAAAGTCGCCTCCCCAACCCTCAGATCAGAACACGTGTCATCGATCCAGTGGTGGAATTCTAACCATCCTTATTTCACTCAGAGCGGCATCATCGTGACGCAAGCCTCGAACATGTAAAGAATTATGGGGACACAGCGTGGCATCGAGCATCCTGAGGATACTGCCTCAATCCTCGAAACTCGAACATGGATGCACGGGAGCCAGTGATGTGGTCATAAATGTCCTACCCCGAGTAAGAGGACTTCAAAGGGTCCTCTTTCTTAATTATGGCACTTCACTCCTTGGGTTATGTGAATTCCTCGAGATATCTTGAGGATGGACGACCTAGATTACTCTTGAAATCATGTTAGCACTCCTCGAGACAATAATGGTCGAGATATTTACTTGGTCGAATCCCTAAGATACTCCTCAATCAAGAGACAGTAGTCCTTGTACAGAAAGGATCCTAGCTCTACCCCATCACCCCTACTTAGGAATCCTAAGTCCTAAAGGAGTCCTGTCTAAGGTAAGACTTCAGATGAGGAAGGTTTGGACTCCTATCCACATTCCAACACTTATCCCTATAATCACTTCTAAAAATAAGGAGATGAGTCCTACCTGAAATACACTACCTACCTTTATAAATACATCATTCTGGTACATTTTTACATATATTTCTCAATATACATTTTCTCTCCATTCCCTCTCTGACTCAGGCATCGGAGCGGTGATGAGGACACCCCTCGATGCCTTGGTTTCAGGTATTGGAAGACCATGTTCGTGTCCATTCTCAGTCGTCAAACTCAGAATTCACCAGGTACAATTTTTGGTAGCATCAACCGGGTATGAGACGGGACAATGTGACAAAAACAGTAGAAGGGACAGGGGTAGAAATGACCGACCCTTCTCATGCACGCCTCGTTGCCATCCCTACAGACAATTGAGGTGCACTGAGAAGAAGATTAAATTTCTATTTTTTCCTCTTTTTTGGGCCGTTCAATTATTTTGGATTTTTCTTTCCTTCATTGTTTTAGTTTACGTTAAGTTAAATGATAGAATTGTCCTTTCACATGACCTCAGTGGAAAAATAAATGAAAATGATCAGGAAGGGACCATATGCGTGAAATAATGATCTTGAGTACTAGAAAGGGAAAAAAAGTTTGAATGGATCAAAATTGTTACAAATGTAAAATGTTGACGACATGATGTGTAGTTTACCCAAAAAGAAAAGACAAAATAAAAATAAAAACAAAAAGTTCATATTCTCTTAGGTAGCAAGCGAACTAGTTTTACACGTGATCAACATCTCGATTATGAAATTGAGACCAACATGCCAACCATTTGGGTTTCGGATCTCAAGGAAAAATTTTCAGGTTTTCAGTTCAAGAACAAGGTAAGAACGAGTTTAGTGAAATTTAAATACCTTTTTTTTTTTTATTAGTTACATTGTTTTCATGAAAGATTAATTTTGTAAACTGAGTTTTCCACGGGAAAAGTTATGTTTAGTCAAAATCGGTATAATAGGTTCTACGGGACCATATAGGATTCTTCGGGATCAATGATAAGTACTTCGTAACATGAATTTTGCTGGTATCCCCTACAAGTTTCGAACTTAGGGTATGGATTTTATTAAATGTTGAGTGATAAGTACATTTTTGTGCACTTATTCGGGGCCATTTTACTAAACTTTTGTGTCGTTTTATTATTACATTTTACTTAACTTAGGTTATTTTTATCTTATTAATTAAAGTTGCAAAAATTTAGCCTAGGCAACCGCCCATATATTTTGCTTGGGCGGTCGCCCAACCTTCAAGATCATTAACAGCAAAAATAAATAGCCTGGGCGGCCGCCCCATTTTGTACTGGGCACTCACCCAGGCCATTTCGGAAAAATAATTCTGGTTTCCTAATTCGACTACGACTCTTATGGAAACAAATCTTTGGGGGTATTTTAAAACCCTAGGGCCGTCCAAAAGTGAGATTGGAGAAGACTTTTGAGAGAAGAAAAGAGGCAAGAACGCGAAGATCAACTCCAAGAACACCAAGATCCAATTCAAGAATTGAATTGGTGATGTCGTTCTTTATTTATTTTTCTGATTGTCTTCTTCCCACCATGTTAGGCTAGATTAATTCTGTACTAGGATTAGATAAACTATATAATATGATTTTTATTTCTTAGTTTTACATTTGTGACAATAAAAACATGTTTTGAGATATTTGAATGATTTATATGAATTATTTTTCTTCACAATTATATGCGTAATGATTGTG